TGGGATTGCAAAGTTGATTATTGCTAACTATTGCCAAATTTCCCTCTATTTGCAATCCCATCAGCAATATATCAGAGGGTCTGTTTATTTCCAGTTTGCCGGTAGCTTTGTCCAACTTTGGATTTTGTCAATTCTGTAATTGCAAAGTAATATATCACTATATTTTTAATTTGCATTTCTTATATCATGGCTTAGATCAACTATCTTTTCAAATTTTTATGGGCTAATTTTATCTCTTCTTATCTGAATACAGTTTCCCTTTTTTTTCTTTTATCTCTGAATCTTGTTTTTCTTTTCCTTGATTTTTAGTAGCTCTTGAAATGTTAAAGTAATTAAGACTTTGTCTGTTATATAAGTTTTAACCATCCCTTACCAATGTACATTTCATTTTATTTACGATGCTTTTGTGCTAGGAAAAAAAAATATTTTTGCCCAGTCTAATTCATTTATCCTTTATTTCATTATTTTTGGATTTTTAAATTTGTATGCTTTTCCCACTCTGTGTTTCACTGAGGTTTTTCTCTAGTACTTGAATGGTTTCATTTCATTAAATGTTCATGTCTCTAATTTGTTTGGAATTTATTGCATAGAATCATATCCTTTATTTTCCAAATTGCTATTTAGGTGTCACAATGTCACCTAATAAAAAGTCTGTCTTCTCCCAGTGAATTCTTATTCCATCCTTATATGCTACATTTCCATGTACACTTGTGATTTTATGGATTTTTTTCTGTTTCATTTGTCTGCCTATTAATGTGTCAACATTACATTGTTTTTTTAAAATTTTTTAATTTTTAATTGCTATAGGTACATGATAGTTGTATGTATCTAGGCAATACATGTGATGTTTTGATATAGGCATACAATGGGTAATAATCAATCAAGGTACTGGAGTGTCCATCATCTCAAGGACTTATCATTTCTTTGCATTAGGAACATTCCAATTCCACTCTTTTAGTTATTTTAAAATATATAATAACTTATTGCTGACTATAATGTATTAATTATACAGATTTTACAATATGTATTCAGATATGGTAAGATGATCTTATTCTTGCCTATTCTTTTCAAAAGTTTTCCTGGTACAATTTGCTTATTATTTTTTTCCACTTAAAATTAAAATTGATATGACTAGTTTCAGGAAAAAAATGACCTTTCTTTAATCCAATTACATTAAAAAGTTGCACAATAAAAAAATTGTATATGTTAATATCAAATATTCCTGCTCAAGAAAAAATATCATAGTATTTATTAAAGTCTATTTTTGCAACTTTCAAGAGTGGCTTACTATTTTGCTCATATAGGTTTTGAATTTTACATGCTGTTGTAAATGATGTGTCATAATCCATTATTACTTATATCTAGTTAATATCAGTATGTTTCAATCTATTGAGTTAGTAATATTTTTATTATTTGCTTCTATCTTACTGAGTTTTGTTATTATGTGCAGTAGTTTGTCTACTTATTTTGAGTTTTCCACATGTATAATCATATTGTCTGCAAAGAAACATAGTTTTCGGTGGTTTTTTTCTAACACTATTACTCTAATTTGCATTCTTTTCTATATTTGCACTTTAATATATTTTTTAGCTTGTTAAATATTGGTACCAATTGTAGATATGTTTGTCTGTTTCTGATTTTAAAAGAAATGTCTCCTGGATTTTCTCATTAAGTAAGATGTTGACTTTTAGGCTAAGGATCATATATTTTAGTTCTTTAAAAATTATCTACTGATTCTTAACTTATTTAGGAATTATTAATTCCTAATTAATCCAGGAATAGCTAAAATTATTTATCAGATATCTTTTAAGCATTAATGGAGATCAGAATTTTTCTTTCTGGATATGTTAATAAACAATTATACTAATGGTTTCCTAATATTGAACAATCCTTGCACTACTAGAATTATCCTACTTGATCATGAAATATGAGTTTTAAAATTTACTGCTGAATACTTTTTGTTAATGTTTTATTTATAATTTTGCATCAAATTTCATAAATTGTAAAACTATTTGTTGTATTTGCTTTGTGTGTGTGTATGTGTGATCTTTTTCAAATATTTGTGTCAATTTTGCACTCAGTTTATAAAAATGAACTTAGATGTTTTCCTTCACTTCATATTCTCTGGAAACATTTTCACTAGTATTAAATTTTTTGATCTTTAAAATTTTGGCAGAATTTCCTTGTAAAACCATCTGCATCTGTTTGTGTATTTATTTATTTATTTATTGAGGTATTTTGGGACACATAAATTTATTTGCAAGACGTTTTACAAAATATATTTTTACTCTGTTAGTTCTTTATGTAATTTTCTTTCTCTGTGAAAAAAGTCGTTTAATTAATTATTGATGTATTTTCTTGTTTTTTTCCTCCTGAAAGAAGCAATAATTGTATTTGTTTATTGTTTCTACTCTTTAAAAAAACCATTAACACTTGCTTTTATCTTTTTATTTATTTATTTTTATTTTATATAAACTTATATTTGTCATATTTCCTTTGATCTTAAAATTATGCAGTTAACTCATGTATTTTCACGATCTACATAATATACATACTTCATATTATGGATATTTATCTCAGCTCTGCTTTAGCTATTAATATATCCCTTAGATTTTGAGATACAATGTTTTCTTTGAAAGGTTTTAATTTTGCCTTCATTTATTGTATCATTCAAATATGCAATAGATATTTTTTCATATGGAATCTCTTTATTTTCTATTAATTTACTTTAATTGTAGTACAGTCTGTGACTTTTACTATTTTTTTTCAAATTTATGGAATTTACTAAGGATTTCTTTGTAACATAATATGGTCACCTTTTGTAAATATTCTGTGTACCCTTGAAAATAAGATTTGGTCCCTCTATTTTTAATGAAGATTTAACATTTACTTATAATATCTACCTTATTAACAAGGTTCTAGAGATTTCTATCATTACCTTTTTACCCCCAACAGATCTATTTAGATCTAAGAAATGTGTGTTGAAGTCTTCTAATATTAGCAGTTTTTGTCTATTGCTCCTGTAATTCATATTTTATGAAAAGAGTTGCTGTTAAAATAACTTCACAAGTTTTAGTTACTGGTACCATGTAGTATTTTTCTCTGTCTCTCATTTAATAATTTTGGGCCTGAATTTTACAATATCTGATATTAAGATCATTACTTTGCTTCCTTTTTATTTACATTTACCACTATCTATCTTTCATTTTATTGGTAATCTTACTTATTATTATTTATTTATTTTTTTTGAGACAGAGTCTCACTCTGTTGTCCAGGCTAGAGTGCATGCCATGGCATCAACCTAGCTCATAGCAACCTTAAAATCCTGGGCTCAAGTGATCCTACTGCCTTAGCCTCCCGAGTAGCTGGGACTACAGGCATGTGCCATCATGCCCAGCTAATTTTTTGTATACATATTTTTAGTTGGTCAATTAATTTCTTTCTATTTTTAGTAGAGACAGGGTCTCACTCAGGGTGCTTTTGAACTCCTGACCTTGAGTGATCTGCCCGCCTTGGCCTCCCAGAGTGCTAGGATTACAGGTGTGAGCCACCGTGCCTGGCCCTTACGTAATAAGACATGTCTGTGGCATAAGTCATAGAGCATTGTGAGTTCTTCGACCACCACAATACTGTTATGAATTCACTATCCATGCATAGCGTGTTTGTTTGTTTGTTTGTTTTGGTAATCTCACGCAGCTTGGAATATGGGTGAATTTTTCTCAGATTCATTGGTCATTCTGAGATGCATTCCCTCAAATCTCCACACTCTTTGATATTCTACGAGTAAATAATTGTTAGGCATTTTGTATTTCCTTATTTTTATAGTATGTTACATATGCATTCTCTTTCACTCTCAGATGCTCCCACCCCAAAGCTATTTATTGTCTACACCAGCCAATTCTGTTGATGATCTGACCCACTTATTCATATTCTTGAGGGATATTTTTTCTTTCTTTAGCTATTCTACTTAGCCTGCCTGATTTCTCGTACGCAGGTTGTGGTCCAAACACCAACTGGGAGTGTTATTTTTAGAAATAATTCTTGTTGACAACTTACTCTGATAGAACTTGACCTGATCTCTTGGAAAGACATATGAACTCTTGCTTAGGATTGGATGGTCACCTTGGCTATGCCATTTTTAAATTCATACTATCTTTAAGACAGAGATGAAATGCAAGCTAGATTATATTATTTGCCCTTTTATGATATTTGCTTGTCAGTTTGTAAATAGACACAGTGCCACTCCAACAGTAGGGATCTTGAGACATTGAAACAAGCATCAAGTGTGGCAATTATGTGCTAGATGAATATCCAATAATATGGAAGTCTGAAGATCATAAGTTTTTAATGTCTAACATAATGACATGGATATTTTTTTCTCAACCTTTGAACATTGAAAATTGCAGCTCAATTATAATATACTATAAATTTCACCACTGAGAATCCATTGCTGGTACCTAATCCTTTCATTGAGTTTAGTAATTTCCATAGAGCTTATTAACCCATAGTATTTTAATATATCATATACAGGGGACTTCTGTATTTATTATATATGCATATAACTATATATATGCATATATACACTTTCTCTGCATTTTAAGGTACAATTCAAAACTGATAATGCTTTGTCATATGTCCATTGTAATATTCTGTTTTGTGGTAAAATTTTTGAGTAAATAAAATTTCACATTATCCAACCCACCTTAGTACATTTTATATGTCTTAATTCCCTTTTGGGCTATATGAGTGTTAGTCAGATAAGCTAAACTATATGAGAAAGTCAATGAAATCTAGAGCAATTGTTTGGCAAAAGCTAGATATTTGGCATTTACTAAATAATTAAAATCGTTAATATCCCTGGCACTTTTCTCGGTAGTTGAGAAATATTTGTGAACAACAACAACAAAAAAAGTGTAAAATCCTTTGCTTTCCCACCTGCAGATAAGTGAAACATTATTTTTAAATGGAAAATGGAATAATTTGAAATATTATTAATGCAGGAGAGGAGTCACTCACAATTTTTGTGGACAAGCGGAAGCTGAGCAAACGATCTGAAGGAAGTGATTCCAGCACCAATAGCTCCTCGGTTACTTTAGAGACCCTGCATCAACTGGCTGCTTCCTATTTCATCGACAGGGACAGCACCCTTCGGAGACTTCACCACATTCAAATTGCATCCACTGCCATAAAGGTAAGAATGAGTTTATACTAAAATTGTCTCATTCCTTTGTTTTTCCTATCTCCAAAATGCATTTCTATATATTTGCTTTCCCCAGTGATTTAAACACTTGTGTTATAAGAATATATTTAGCATTTCCTTTCGTTTTGAGTTATACAATATATTTAAGATCAAATTATATGTATTTTGACATAATTTTTACATGATAATTATATTAAGATTTTTCATGGCCAAATGTAATTAAAATATACTTGAATTTATAAATTCATCCTGGCATATATACAGACTCCCTCCCAAAGTACATATGGATACAAGTTTGTTTTAATAACATTTATTTCTTTTGTAATAGTTCTCATTTTATTTAACTCATTTAAAAATATTATCTCAAGAAGAGGCTTTAGTAGTCTGAAAGTGGTCCATTGCACAAAATATTAAGACGTTCTGGTTTAAGAAATATTTCCCTCTAACGTTTTAAACATATTGTTAAGTGGTACAAAGTCTTAGTTAAAGTTTTTAGAAGTCAAAATGTACTGTAATCTAAGATTAGTATAGCAAAATCATGTGTTCACCTAAATCATTTGACTTTGACCATACTAAGGTTGACTTTACAAAAATGTACAAAAGGGGGAAAAAGTGCATCTTTAATTTTCAAAATTTGAAAAAATGGAAAATGAGAAAAAGACAGAGGAAGACAGCGAGAAAGAGAGAGAGAGAGAGAGAAGTTGTGGTCTCCAATACAATAAATTTTAGACATACTCTCTAACAGTTTAGGCCAACATCATTTGGTTTGGCCAATGGCCATTATAAAACTTACAGAGCAAAGAGTCAGCACAGTAGGATCCTAGACTAAGTTAGTAAAAACGAAGTAAAATATAAAAAGCATTTCTGAGTATTTCAAAGCTAACACTCTATAGTTAATACAAAAAGCAGCCATTAATATAATATTTTATTGCTTTATGAGAAAAAAATTAATATGTGTGTATTTTTGTCTCAGTTAGTTGAAAAGTTACTACTCCAATGCTTTGGGAATGCTCAGAGACATTTACTCTAAGGCATATATTTTGTCCAAGATGTACTAGAGGAAATAAAAGGGGAAATGGAACTGTCTTTAGCTTAAGGATTACATAGACAATACTGCAAGATCCCCACGTGCATGTCTTCAATATTGCTTGTAGATGGGGTTAAGAAAAAGACTTCTGTAGATGTAAATTACACAATATAGTTAGTCTGCCTCTGAATGTAGAATTTATGTTATATTGAGTAACAAGTATATAAATAGAATTTATACTGTGTAGATAAAATGTCACCAGAATGAATGTAGATGTTTTAGTTAATTCATACAATCTGTAGGGTAGAATATTGTTGGAGATATTTAGCTTGCAGTTGCTGAAGAGAACTAAACATTTTTCAGAAATTGATTTTAATGATATAAACAGTAACTTAAATCAAACTCTATTTTCTAATAGAAGAAATCACTGTTGTGTGTTTTTATATGACTATTGATTTTTGTGTTCAGTACCAAGTGAAATTATAAAATACAGTTTTGTACTCATGCTAAGTAAGAGATATTTAAACACAGTTTATGTGAAAACTTAATGGGTATTTGCATTACTTCTGTTCTCCCTCAAGAGAAGAATGTATCACAGAAAGCATGTTTTAGTGGGACATACTGTGTTTACAGGCATCGTTCCTAGACTCTGGTGATATAACTGGAAACGATGAGGCTTTATGAGCTTGTAACTAACAGTGTGGTAGAATTGATCCCCAAAGGAAAGGTAACTCTTTTCTAAAAGTTTCTCTTTTAAATTATTATTATTATTATTTTAATTTGAGAATATTACAGAGGTACAAACATTTTAGTTACATGATCGAGGAAGTGTATTATCTAAGCAGTTCTGGGAAGAGGAAGGAATGACCTGGAATTTAGGTTCACCTTGACAGGTTCCAAGAAATACCCATTCTCCATGACCCAGGGAAAGGCGTTGGGAGCACATAAGAGACTTAGTTAAAGACTGTGCACAGTGGCTGGGAGTGGCGGGAAAAGCGGGCCTTACACCAGGTAGAGGAAACAGAGAACGGTAGGGGACGATACAGGGATGGACTGCGAGCAGAAGGACCCATCTCTTGTGCTGTAAGTAAGGAACAAAAGGAAATGAGGTAGTGCCAGCTGGAAACTACAGCACTAAAGATATAAGCACAGAACTGCACAGGGAGGGTCAGGGTGAGGTGATGAGTAGCCGGGAATAGGCAAGAAAGGGGAGCAATTAAATCTTTCTGAACTTGATTTAGACATGAAGAGAATTCCCTTATGAAGTAGTTGTAATTTTTAGTGACTGGTAATTTTCCAGGCTAGCGCTAGTGGCAATCTGGGTTATTGTGAATGGCCCACGGAAATGCTGTGTTCTCCTGTGCTGTGTTCAGGTAAGAGTGGAGCCAGACCTCGGGGTTCCATGTGCACCTCAAGGGCCTGCAGACTGCGGATCCCATGCCCACGTGTGTGGCTGTGCAGTTTTCTGAGGAGAGTATTCTTTATTTTCATTAGTTATCAAATGTGAGGAAAGTTGTCTCCCCTCAGTTGTAAATCCGATTAACATTAAAAAGTAAATTAACAAAATATGAGGAACTGAGTAGATGGCGGGGGTGGGGGTGGGTTGATCCAATACCATTCAACTATTGGCATCCCTTCTAGGAGAATAAATAATTCAATGCAAAATGCTCTTGAAGCCAAGAGCTTCATTCCTTTACTGAATCCCCAAAGGTTCAATGCACTTCTTTTATATTTTAAAGTATCAAAGTAATAGTAGCAAGATCTACAGTTTCTTTGATTTGCCATTACTTGGGTTTTTGGTGCCACATAGTTGGTATTTAATTTATTGAACACATGTTGAATAAAGTTGATTTTTTATTTTTTATTTTATTTTATTTCAGCATATTATGGTGGTACAAATGTTAAAGTAAGATGATGTGCATCACACACATTATGTGTGTGTATACCCATCCCAATTCACAGTATTTAGGAAACAGTATTGCTGAAAAATAAAGTCAAATAAGATTATTATCATAAAACAACAAAAATACAATTAAATCATGCCAGCTTTTATCATGCTAATTCTTGCAAAACACAAAAGAGTAGAGCAATTAGTGTTAACTGTGAGCCAGTTCCTAGAAAATGGAATAGAGCAGTTTGTTGTTTTTATCTCCTATAATTATGAATATAAATGTAGACTGGAGCTCATTAACACATCTGTAAATAAAAACCAGCAGCTCAAAAGCCCGTGTATCTTAATTAATTGCCATATTCTTGCAATTAATAGCATTTATACAAAATACTGTTTCTCAATATTATTTGAATTTCAATAACATGTCAAGTATAATATCTGGAGTTAGTCATTATTTTCAGAAGATTCAATTCAATTGACACAGATTATCTAAAAAAAATCACACTAATGCATTTCTTAAGTTTATTTTGAAATAGTCTAATAAACCTTAATATTATATAATTGACTGCTGAGAAAATGAAAATATATTACATCTTTTGGGGAATATTTAATCAATCACCTAATGTATTATGGCATATAATACATTTTCAAAGAGGATTTTTTAATACATTAAGTTTTAAAAATCATGCTGTAAGGAAAACTAAATTCAACTATAGAACCTCATTAAAAATCTTAAAACCCTAATTCTCATTCTTTGAAAATAGTTGCATGTGTTTACTACATTTTTAATATTCTTCTAATACAGAAAAAATATCAGATAGCTTTTAATGTTATAGTGTTTTGATCAACAAATCTAGAAAAAAAACAGAAACAATATATTAAAATGAACCCAAAGGTCAATATTTCATTTCAAAGGATTTTTAAGTGATGCATAGTTTACTTAAGAGTACTTCAGTAGATTTTGAGAGAGGCTCTACAACTGTAAATTTACATTTCTGAAATTATAAAATATATTAAATTAAAATATTAAAAGCTATTTATAAAAGTAAGCCTGATAATAATTTTCCAAAAACAGTTTGATAAGTAAATTATTTGTTCTTTGATAGCAAAATCAGTAAAATGTAATAATTTATTTTTTTGTATTTCTTTATATTCAAAAAACTTACTTTAGGAAAACCAAAGATAAGAAAATTTGCATGTAAACCATTCAAAATAATTACAGTCTTTAAATTTTATTTTTTTCCCATTTCAGGAAGAATTCACATTTGATTCTCATTGTTATTAAATGTATTTAAAGTGTACAACATGATATTTTTATATATACATATATAATGGAATGGTTACTACAGTGAAGTAAATTAACACTTCTATCATCTTATCACCTCATACAGTTGCCTTTTTCTTTGTAGTGAAAGCAGCTAAAATCTCCACTCTTCACAAATTTCAGGTATACGATACAATATTATTAACTATAGTACTCATGTTTTACATTACATCTGTAGATTAATTCTTCCTATGTAACAGAAACTTTTTACCTTTTGACCTACATCTCCCCATGACTCCCCTCCTCCATCCTGATAACCCCTCAGCTTCTCTCCATTTCTATGTATTTGACTTTTTTTTAGATTCCACATAAAAGTAAGATCATGCCATATTTTTCTTACTGTATCTGTCTTATTTCACTAGCATAATGTCCTCCAGATTCATGCAAAAAATGAATTTTCTGTAAAAAATGCTGAATATTTTTACATATATACATATATTCCATTATATATGTAATATATATAGACAGAGGTTTCAAGTATTTATATATATATATATATATATATATATATATACACAGAGGTTTCAAGTAAACTAAGTCAAAAAGGAAAAAGGAGACATTACAACAGAAACCACAGAAATGCAAAAGATGTGCATGACTACTAAGAACAATTCTGTGCACACAAACCAGAAAATCTAAAGGAAATGGATACATTTTTGGAAACATACAACCTCCCAAGCTTGAATCAGGAGGAAATTGAAATTCTGAACAGACCAATATCAAGTAGTGAGATAGAATCAGTAATAAAA